TGGCCATGACGATTGACGAGATCCTGCTGGAGGCGACGGAAAAAGGATGCCCCGAGCTGGCAGTGGAGGCCGAGAAGGTGCTTGAAGAAGGACGCTCAGTTGGTTGGGTTGAGGAAGGCCGCCAAGCCTGGATCAGTGCACCAAGCTGGAACAGGGAGAAGGGCTACGGCGAGGGTAAGTTTGACTTTCGCTGCGGAGACATCCATCATTCCTGGCTCTACCTCGACTATAAGGACAAGCTTTCGGTCGGCCCTGAACTTGCCAGTGCCTTGGGAATGGACGAAGGTGAGGAGGAGGAAAGACAATGCTTGGTGCTACCCAGCAGCGGGAATCCTCATGTGGGAAGGGGACTGGGACCCTACCCGAAGGCCAAAGGTCGAGGAGGTGAAGGACAAGGCGCGAGAACTCCGGGCAGGGCTCTGGGACCAAGCCGCCAGTGCTATCGCCGAGCTTGGCGATCCAGCACCATGGATTGGGGCTCGAGAGGCTGAAGTGAGAGGCTACGCGCATGACTGCCTAAGAGCTCACCACGACAAAGACTACCGCCTTTACCAGACCTTCAACCTTGAGGAGCTACAAGGGTACACCTTGCAGTGCTGGCGGCTGAACTGTCGTGGCCAGTTTCAAGTTGACCACCTCATCAGCGGGGACCCTGGCAGTGAAGGACGCATTATTCCCTTCTTGATCCATGGCCCTGACCCTCGCAGGACATGTTGATCGTGAATGGCACTGCGAAGGGTGGAGGGAGTTTCTCACACAGCTGCACCGTTGGTCCCTGGGAAGAGGCCACGCTGCCCGCGCTGTTGCGATGGAACCACCAAGATTGGCAAGGCCAGCCCCAATGTCCCCTGGAGCTTCAACGAGCATCCGGTGACCACACAGGAGCTGATCCTTTTGGGAGCCCAATCACCGCTTAAGCACCGCCCTTCCTTCGCCTATGGCATTCGCGCGCAGGAGGTCTTCGCTGGTTCTGGGGTCTGGACAGAGGCAATGCGTGAAGCAGGCATCGCGCACAACATCCCGCTCGAGCTCTATGGCGACCCGCTGCAAAAGAAGGATCGCCGCCCCGAGTTTGACCTGGAAGACCCAAAGGTAGCAGCACACTACCTCAAGGAAACACAGGCACTTCCTGGACCCAACACGGCAAATGTCTGGGAATTCGGTACTCCGTGTACAAGCTTTTGTGATTTCTGCTTGCTCAATGGCGGAACACGCAACTACTCCGCCCCTGAAGGCCGAGATCCACTGACAAGCAGTGAACGGGCTGGCAACTATTGTTGCCAGCTGACCTGCCAGATGTGCGAGCAGCTCTTCTTGCACGACAAGGAGTTCATCCTCGAGTCCTCAATGCCCTCAGGTCGCTATCCCAAGATTTGGGATCAGCCAGCTGTCCAACGCCTTCAAGAACAGACTGGCTCGCTCATCGTGCCCACGCACTTGTGCGAATGGGGCTGTGCGCCCACAGACCAGCCCAAGTTGCGGTACAAGAAGGGCCAATGGAATTTAGTGTCCCCAGGTCTCTACTACCATGCCCTTCTTTTAGCACGCCGTTGTCGAGGCCTACACAAGCACCTGGATGTGAAGGGCGAGTCCCACCTCCCTGGAGTTCCACGCACACGCCAAGCGCAGGTATACCCCAAGCGCCTTTGTCAAGGGTGGGCGCTTGTGATCCAGGCCTCGTACCATGGGTGGGGGACACTACGAGTGGCAGCCGCCCTGGACCAGCTTGAAGATGATGGCCAACAAGGGGATATTCCACAGAAAGGAACTACACCCCCCCATTTTTCGGACCAGCGCCCAGCAAAATGTGGCAGCTCCGAGGACTCAGAGTTCATGGATGGCTTTGGGCTACTAGCTGGGCTACTAGGAGGAGGTCAACGATGTGGTAGCATCGGAGGGTATGAGGTGGGCTGGAAGCAGTGGTGCTTGTGGCGCAGGATGAGCAGCAAGAGCGTCTACCTGAGGAGAAGAAGCAGGACGAGGACGACCTGTTGCGCTTCACCACGTACCTGGCCCATGTCATGGGGCGGACTGAAGGGACCATCAAGCAGCGGCTGTTTGCGATAAAGGCGGGCCATTTGGTGGCTGGCTATGAGGACCCTATGCTCCACAGAACTCGCATCTGGGCCGCGCTCAGCGGCTACAAGCGATGGCAACCTGCCACCAAGAGGAAGTACCCGGTCCTGCCCAGCATGTTACTTTGGATGCACCAACATCTCGCAACCAGGGAGTCCTTCAGCCGAGCCGATCGGTTGATCATTTGGGCGGCGCTCATGGTCGGCTTCTTCTTTTTGCTCAGGGCCTCCGAGTACCTGGTGACGCTGGGGAGATCGTGGGGGAGCACCCGGACACTGAGAGGATGCGACATCGAGGGCCGTTCAGAGAACAAGCAGGTCAACAACCTACACCACGCGGAGGAGATCGTGATCTACCTGAAGGGATCCAAGACAGACCAACTCAACCAAGGGACAGTCAGGAACCAGTTCAAGAGTGGGCATCGCACACTTTGCGTGGTCACGGCCCTCGCAGAGTACCAGAACTTAAAGCCTGAGCGCTTTCGAGGAGGTGAAGAGCAGCTTCCCCTGTTCAGGCTTGAAGACGGGCGGCCGCTACAACGAGGAGACATCCAGAGCCTGATCCAGTTGGTAGCGGTCGCTGATGGGCAATCCACCACATGCTATGGGTCTCACAGCCTCCGCATCGGAGGTGCCGCAGCCATCTATCAGACGACGAAGGACCTGGAGACGGTGAAGCGCTATGGACGCTGGAACTCGGATGCCTTCCATGGCTACCTCTGGAAAAGCCACGACAAGCAGCGCGAGCTTGCCAAAGGCATGGCGTCAGCCAACGGGCAGCTTCTGGCACCGAGAAGGAGCAAAGGCTCGGTGATGCCCGGCTTGGAGAAGACCAATGCAGCGAGCTGCTAAACAGGGCCTTAGCGTGCATCTCCGATGGAGTGAGAGCCGATGGCTTTGGGCAGTGAATGTTTTGGAGTTTCGAGCTTGGCCAAAAGGCTGCGGAGCAGAGCACAGACAGACTTCTGCTCAGCGGCAAAACAAACGGCCTTGCTCGCTTTGTAGTGTGTGCAAGAAGTCTGTAAAACATGAGACTCTGAAAGGTGAAGACGCAAGGTTTTCCATACTGCGTGCCACCTGCAGCTTTAGGCTGGAAAGGCTTTTGGCCACTCCCGGCCCGCCCTCCCGCGGCCAAAAGGCTGCGGAGCAGAGCACAGACAGACTTCTGCTCAGCGGCAAAACAAGCGGCCTTGCTCGCTTTGTAGTGTGTGCAAGAAGTCTGTAAAACTATTTCATTACAGTATATCTCTAAGATCTTTTAAAGTATATTGGGAGACTCCACCAGCCTAGTTTCAATTTGGACGAATGTGGTACGGGGTCCGCTTTAGGCAAATACAAACAGTGGTACTGAACCCTTCTGCTGGACAGGTGGTCGATATTATTCCTGGAATTCGGGGCCGTTTTTTGGCCCCAAACATTTGGCAGCCAGGATGCATTGAACCGCGTGGAGCAGCAACTGCTCGAGGCCACTACCTGAGACTCTCACCAGACACTGGGCGGGTTGGACGCACAGATTCTTGGAACTCTAGACCCTCCTGGTCTTTTCTTTGATGTTATTCAGTTTTTATGCATGGACATAAAGTGAGCCAGGAACAGTCAAATCAGTCATGGTGAGTTGGGAACTGAACAAATTCTGAAAGCGTTGCACTTTGCACAACACCTCCAATTACTTTATTTCCTAAGACCTCCCAGGATGCTTAGAGAACATTCTCTTGCGCTCAGCCGTTCACCACATGCATCAACTGCAGGCTGGCGTGGATATGCGCGGGGCCTATCATCACACGGGCAGGACTTGAGCTTTCAGGGGCATGTCTCCATGCTGCTTCTTCAGTTTTCGATTCTGCATTCCATTGCAAACCGTTTTCTCCATCAACCCTTAGGAGAGCAACGGGCCCATGAGTCAAGAGAATGTGTTTTTCAAAAGAGCTTTTAGGGTCTAGATGATGGAAGGAACACGACTTGTGTTGTTATTCTTTCGCAATTAGAGCAATCCGAAAGCTCAAACCCTGCGAACCGCCTTGATAATCAAGCAGATTGCGCTGCCTGTCTTTTTGCAAGAAGGCTTCCGGCCTAGTGGCCAGCCGCATTGAGCTGTTTGCTCGATTACACTTTGCTTCCCATCGTGCAACCGTTTTAACACTTGTTTATACAAGTCGTTTGAACAGCAAGTTCTGATTCATTGAACTGCCTTTGTGGTTTACCGTCGCCATGTAACTCCAACTCTACAGCTGTTGCTTTTTCCTTGCAACATCTTCGAAGATCTGAACGCTAGCTGGCCCTGTGTTGGCTTTTGCGTTAAAGCGGGTGGATCTGCCAACGCTCCTGCAGACCAACCAGTTGAGCCAGTGCAGCCTGAAGTGTCACGTCAGAGAATTGTTTGCCTGTTTGAGATTTGAGACTGGGAGACACCTCACCTTTGCCAAGCTTCTTTGGGGTGATCTCAACCATGGTTAGAAGACGCTGCTAGCACAGGCTGCACCTAGGGCACCCTTGGAAATTTTTAGACTGCATCTCCCGAAGTGGAGCTGTGTAGGGTAGGACACGTGACACTGCTTCTGTCTCGCTTAAGGCGACCACAAAAGCCACCGGGTTAAACGAAAAAAGCTGCAGAGGTCCCGCTGAACACTTTGCAAACCTTGGCAGGCACTCTTTAAGGGCTTTGGGCTCCCAAGTATTCTGATGCAGCGAACGAGATCCAGCACTCCAATTGGCTTGGCTCAAAGTCTACCAGTTGCAAGTCCCACCTTAGGGTCCAGCTTCTGTGGCTGTCCCGAACTCTCGGACCTAGTAGTAACAAGAAGCTACTAGGAACAAGTGCCTTACTAGTAGTAACAAGTGCCACGCTACTAGGAGCAAGGACGCTACTAGGGGCTCCTGGCCTTACTAGTAGTAACAAGAAGCTGAGCGGAAGGGTGGAACCGCAAGGTACCTCTGCAGCTGACAGCTTTAAGGCCTGGACAAGGTGGTCTTGAAAATCTGCCAGGCCTTTGTGCACTGCTGAGGACAGGTTTCGGACGGTGCAATCACACGCACCAGTGCGGTTCTTTCGTGTGGCTCAAAGCAATGATTCACCCGACTGCCTTCAAAGGCGTTTGCATACATTGCAAGTGCGTAACTTTGGTTGATTCCCAAGGGAACCTGCTTCCAGCCTCCTGGTTTCATCATTTTACACTGGATTCCTTTCAGCCTGCTTCTGTGCCAGGACACTGTGGGCAGCTAGCCATCGGGCCCAAGTGCCAGCTGTTCATTTGAGGTGTGGCACGAGCATGTTAAACCTCGAGATCATCCATGTGTCTGTTTTGACGGCCAGGGCTGGCATGGAGTGGCGGCTTCTTCAAGCCGCGTTATTCTTTTTTGTCTGCTATCTACAGCCAAGATTGCCCACAGAATTGGGAAATTAGGTGCATACGCTTTTGACTTGGGACTGCCCAGGCAGCTCAATAGCTACCTGGAGAGTCAAGGCCTTGGAGTTGTATGTTGAATTGCTTTGAACCTCTGCAGTGTCCTCTCTTGTACGTCGGAGTTCAACACCAGCCCCACAACCGGATCATAATGTGCAATTCTCCATTTCATGAGCAGAAGTAAACTTGATACTTGGAAAAACATGGAATGCCGCATGCAGTGAATGCAGAGCATGCTTTTCTACGTCTGCGTTCAGACCCCAAACCACAAGACGTCCGCGGGGAGTCTTTTTTGGTGTTTTTCTGTGTCAAGGTTTGAACATAGATGATCTCTGAGGATAGTAGCGGATGCCGTGCTCCTTCCAACTCTCTCTTTCCGGCCCGGGTACAGTACCCACTGGGGCCGACCCGGGTACAGTGCCCGTGTGCTGCTAGTAGGTGCGGTTGCACGTGGTTTTTCACACTTGAGGCACTGGAGCTAGTTGGAAAGTAGTTGAACTCCTACTGGTAGCAGTTAAGAAAACACTCTCCATTTTGAGCGAGGGCCTTTGTGTGTGCTTCTTTTCACCTGTACAGAGGCTGGAGGGTCTTAGAGTGACGACCCATTTGCGTCCTCAGGTGACGACCCAGCTCAACTTTCTACAGAGCCAGTACTGCCGGAGCACCCAGATGAACTACATATGGTCACCACTCTGGCAATTGACATTCTTTTGACCGTGTAATTGCTAGTTGGGCAACAAGCACTATATATACATATTTATTTACAGTATATAATACTGTATGATATATGTATATATATAATACATATATATATATATATTTGCACGGACTTTAACCAACTCTGGTGGCGGGAAAGCAGGTGAAGATCACAAACCCCTGTGGAGTGGGGCCAATTTGCGGAGGTTTTGGCAAACAGCAAGGTTTTTGCCGTTTTCGCCATGCCTTGGCCCTTTAAAGCCTTTGACAAACCATGTGTTGGGCCAGGCTCCGCTTTCCAGCAGCTTTCTCTGGAGTTACCTCTTGTGGCTTCGGTGCTAAGCCCAGAGTCTTGGGATGAGATGTCCAGTTTGTATTTCTTTGTACCAAGGGTGTGGGCAGTCGGCAACTCCTGCAGTTTGATTTTAAACATGGAACCCACGATGGCCGGTAAACTGATGACTTTGCTCAGTCTACGCCTTCGAGAACCTGTTTGAGATAGGACCCTACCATGGAGTCCATTAGAACAGGGCATACCGACAGGTGATGTGCAACAGACTGAGCCGACCCGCTGCAGCTGTTTTCCCAGGGTAGGAGGGGAGGTGAGGAGGGCAAGAGGAGCCCAGTCCACGCCTGCAGCTGTTGTCCACGCAGGCTGGACGGATGTAACAATGGATTGATCAACAAACAGGGCGGCTAAAGCCGGCAATCATACATGGGTCATGTCCAGCATGTGCGGTCGTCTCAATCTGCCTTTTACATTTGATCATAAGCCTGGCCACTGCAGGCTTGGTGAATAGGTGGCCCTCCAGTCGCCATGTGTTCGGTCTCCCTGCAGTACGCGCGTATCTCAAGATCAATATTGGAAGATGCTGTCTCTGTTGCATGTGTGTTGCAAATGAAATTGTTCTACATGTCCGATATGATATATATATACATCATATGTCATCCATGTGGGTCTGAATATGAATCGTGCACTTCCATTTCTCCAGGCGGAGGGTTTTGGCACTTTGCTATGGGCAGACGCTTGGATATGTTTTATTTTTGCGGAGCCAGACTCCCAGTCCGGTATGGATGGTGCAGCCGGTCGACACTGAACCTGAAAAAATAGGCAAAAGGAGGCATGGACACGCTAACTCGGGTCCTGTATACACATTTTTAACATTTTTCAGCCTGAGGTCCTGAAATTCTCATACCTCCTTAGACTGGTCAGAAATCAGGCAGACGAGTTTTGAGATGCAACAGCAGGAATACGGCCTAATCTCCCTCACTGTGAACACGTGGCCAATCATACCCAACGTCAAGGATGAAGAAGATTGGCAGCCGGAGCATCCACCTAAGCGATCCTTTTTCGTGTCAACCTACCAGGATGAAGGACAAGGCCAGCCGTGTTGTGGCGGCCTTGAAAGCCAACTTTTGAGGAAAGGGCCTCTGTGATTTGAAGGAGCTCAAGTGCATAAAAAAAGGGGCACTCAGGGCGTAGGTGTCCTTTGGATTTATATACTAACCTCCAGCAGTTCAGGCAGCGGCCCTTTCAGAACTTAGGAAGAAGCGAATCTGCAGATAGAAAGAAGAAAGACAAGGACAAGGAGATGACCACAGTCGCAACAGCTCCGAGTTTGCTCAGCATTCAAGCTGCAACATGCTCCCGGATAATTTGCTTGAGTTCCAGAACTGCGTTCAGAGGACAAGAAGAAGGACAAGGACAAGGAGAAGAAGAAAGACCGTAGCAGAAGTCGCGGACGAGAGCCTCGCCATGGTTGGCTATTGATTGGTAGTGTTTGCACCACACTATAATTACTATACTTTACCATACCATACCATACCATACTATACCATACCATACTATACTACTATACTATACTATACTATACTATACTAATGGTTGCGGTTGTGGCTGTTTGCGACAGCGATCGTACCCAAGGGTGTTTGAGGGTGCCAGAGAACGTGAAACTGAGGACAAGGACAGAGAACGAAAAGACAAGGAAAAGGCAGATAGCCTTTGTGTGCTTGTGCCACATGATTATGATGCGAGTGTGGAGGGGAACCCAACATCCCCAGCTGCTTCGTGGCCAAAACGCTGACAGGGAAAGGAGAAAGACAAAGAGAGAAAAGATAAAGACAAAGACAAGGACAAAATTGAAAGACAACATCCTGGGAAAAAGACAAAGAAACAACACAATTTGTTCCCGGATGGTGGGCCTTTATCACCAATGAGATGGGGTACTGGGGCCACCACTGAGGGTTTGTCCTTAGACCATCGGTGGAGGACAGGGTTGGAGCTATGGCTCTGGAGCTTCGCCCCAGGTCACAATTCTTAACTTGAATTCGGGTAGAAAGATTCCCTGCGAGGAGAAGGAAAAGAAAGACAAGGACAAAGACAAAGAGAAGGCCTTGGCGAATCTGTCGGATCAGAACTATGCCAGTCTCGCTCATAAAGGGGAGCCTATATAAATTCAGTTTCATGATGTTTAAGGACACTTTTTGCAGATTGCCAGCTTTGCCTGCAGGAGAAAGAAAAGGAGAAAGACAAGGAGAAGGTGGCGAGCGATACCCCATTTTTTTGCATTCTCTCAAGCAAAGGGTCCTTTGTCTTGCACCAATTTGTATCCCTCTTGAATTTCCAGGACAGCTTTCAGGTTCGCTGTGTTGGGCATTCATTCTCTACAGACTTGGGAGATAATGTCTTATTACGGGAGTCTTATTGAACTTGTTATTGATGTCACTGCTGTTGTCGGAAGAAGTACATGCAGTGCAGCTATCGCAATGATGCAATTGGACATAGTACCTCCAAGCACTGGGTCCATCGTCTTCTTAAAAAGCGGTTTATGCTTTGACTCATCGAGACAAAGCCACCAACCCGTTTGACCAGGCTCCCGAGGCTCCGAAAGCCACTGAGGCACAGAAGCGAAGCGTCTAACGAACAAGTTCACATGGATGTCCAGAGTGTATACGAACGACCCAGCTGTGATTTCATCATAGTATTAAAAAACATAACAAATTAACGGAAAAAATGAACTTCTCTGTTTCCGATATTTGCATAAGCCAATTCTAATGCAGAGGGTCATCTCCCAAGAGAGTAAGTGCATCGCTAGTAGCAACAAGTGCATCGTTACTAGTAACAATTTTACGTTGCTCATCCGCTCTCGCACGCCTTTGGCCCTCAACGGAGGCAACGGAGGCTCCAGCAGAGGCTCCTTCTGCGCAGAACGCGGAGGCTGCAGACGCGCCCGATGATGAGGTCACAGCAGTGGGCCCAGGAGGAGCTGAAGCCATGGAGGGGCAAAGAAACAACCTTGCAGCCGCTGCAATGAGGGGCTGTCAGTTGCTGGTGTTCACATTTTTGAGCTATGTTCAACCGTACAAGAGGTATTTGGGCATGAACATGTCTGTGCAGTTGGGGATTTCACTCTAAACCTTTGGGAATGACCTCACCAGGCACACTCGCGACTGCTCGTGGGGTGATTCAGGACGGAAGCTGACTGCGGGTGAGCGGATCCGACTTGCACGCGCCAAAGCTGCGAACGACCCGAAGAAGAAGAGCATCGCCATTGGGACGCTTTTCGTGGATGTACAGTGGTGTTGAAGAGCTTGAGAATTGCATGCAAACGGAATAACAGAAAGCTGAGTCGTATACAAAAATATGCACCCGGGCTGAATAGCTGTTCATCCGTGAAAATGTGCGCCGGCAAATACCTTATTTTGGACTACTAGGTCAACGTGTCTACTTCGGGTGGGTTGTTGCCCTCCACATGTGTGAGTCTCTTCAAGCTGTCGAATCAAGACGGCAACGCTGCAATGCGTAGGCCGCTGCAGTAGAGGCAAATGTAGTTTGCTTGTCACACGCATCGACATTAATCGCTGTGAAGATATACTTGGTCTGGACCTAGCCTCTCAGGAGCAGTAGCTCCAAAAGCAGCAGTCCCTTGCCTTCAGCATAGAGCATTGTGGTGCTTCCACAGCTTCAAGAGGCGGTGATTGAGTCTCATTGAGCGGAATCGGCGGTGAAGCGAAGATGTGTTTGGGGATGGGAGGATGTGTGCGGGGTGTTTATAAAAGTCTCCGATCTAGCCTCCTGCACAAAGGACTGTGACATTTCTACTTGAGAAAGGTGTGAGAAAAGGCAGGTAAACGAGAAGCTGGTACCAAACTATCACATGCGAGATCGCATCCTGAGCAAAGCAGAACCATTGGAAGTTCCAGCACCTTTTTAGCCAAGGCAGCTACAGCAGCAGCAGCTCGCCTTCAGAGAAGAAGAAGAGACTCGCCTACGGTATGGGCTGGAATTCGGGTAGCACGGGCACAATGCTTGGGGTCATGCAGGGGTGATGGGCACATATGGGCACCAGACAACTTGCGCGGACTTAATCATTCCTATCAAGAACTGATAGCTAAGTTGGCGTGTGGTATGTACAGTAAGTCAACAGTGCCTTGTTAGCGTGTGCCCCAACGGAGGTTTTGCCGTTACAATTTTGGCAGAGATAGATCTGAATGGAAGGGTGGCAGTGGCAGTGGTGATATTTGTGGCAGGCAGCAGGGTGAAAGTTGAGAAGCTGCACCACCACATATTAGGAGCACCTCTAATCTAAAATATATACACGCGCATCGCATCATCAGAATCATCAGGAGACATGATGGTAACCCACACGCCATTACCGCTTGCTTTGGTCTGTTCAGCGTAGTTTCATGGGTCGCACACTTGGGTGGTCAAGTGTTCTGAAAAGCCATCAGATGGAAGTTTTTGGCATGCCAAAAAACTTGAACTCTTTTGCACGAGTTGTGTTGAACTATGAAGTCCGGACCGAAACTGCACGCTCTGAGCTGTGAC